TTTTGATTGAATTAGGATTTGAAAATATCATTAAACTAAATTGGAGAAGTTTAATTAAGATACAAGACTCTCTTCCTCTGTTATTACCATTTATGCCTATGATGAGTTGACTTGATAGCAAATGAACGAAACCAAATATGAACAAGGGCTTGTAGTGCTAAACTATCACCACATTCTTCATACTTTTGGCGTTGTAATAAGGTTTTTGTATTATTTACAATTGGAAGTATCTAGCTTATAGAGCTTTATGGTCTGTGAGACTTCGAGGTCCTAGATGGTGACTAATAGTTCATGATAGGTCTGTTTAGTTCTCTTTTACCATTGTGAAGCATGTGATACTGAGAGGATTACCCAACAGAGTAACTCTGTTATAAACAAGAAGCGAAGATTGCTATCAAAGTAGAATGGCTAGTAATGATGCCAAAGCCAAGACTTCAGAAGCCTGTTTTCTATTTTCTAAAACTGTGTTCTGTTTTTGGGAACAGAAGACACCTGAGACATGGTTAGTTGCTACTAAATAGCTGGATTAAAGCTAAAAAGAAAAATATCTAGTCCCACGAGGTAGAGGAAACAAAATAAAGAGAGACAGAGACCTAAGCAGACCCTGAAACTTGAAAAACAATAACCAAATTGACATTCAAAAGCAAAAAGGGGCGGTTAAATAAACATAAAAAATGACTGATCAAACTGGATATAAAGAATGAATATGCAAAGTAGAATAGCAACAAATGCATATAGACGGAATGCAAAAACTGTTTCAGCAATCAACATATTTTTGAAGCATATTTTGAGCATGAAGCAAAACAACTAAGCTATATAGCAATCCCTAGACCAGAACGGATTCCTTAATGATATTATAACCCACGCATCTTTTTGACACCAACACAACTAACATAACTGGAACTTAAATATCTCTGCATCTACCTCATAGTTCCAAACAGGGAGGAGACAAACTCTATACTAGTATCAAAACTTTTAAGATCCCGGCATGAGAGTCTCTTTTAGTATTAGAAAAATTCTTGTGGTACTTTAAAATTTTTAAAAACTTCTGAATCTGGGGGTCTAAAGGCAAGGACATCCAGACATTAAGGCATGTCTAAGTCATCCAAGCAGATTCATTGTACCCACCAAACGGAAAATCAATTTTCTTTCTCAGCAAACACTTTTTCTCCTCCAATACCTGCAGGATCCCAATTCAGAAACTATGCAAATTTGCCTTCTTTTGCTCTAATCATTACTTTTTTCGGAATCTTGCCTCAAACCTCTCTCAATCCTCTACATAATTCCCTTAGAATATATCAAACACATTCCTATTGCTTTTAGTGGAATTGAGTTCTCTTTTCTAACCAGTTTCCAGCAAGAATCCCACACCAACCATTAAAGTTCTACCATAGCAGTTGAAGTTATTGCAAGTGGGTCCTCGTATCAATAGCGCAGAGTTGAGAATTTCGAGAATATTCATGGTTAATCCAAAATGTAAATTTTCCATCACAAGCCTTTAAACTCTTCCATTTTTCCCCTCCTGGGAGACAATGACATGGGTCTAACCTAATATAAATTGTGTTACAATAAGGGGATGATAATTTGTATTACAATAATGGGATGATAATTTGTGTTATAGCTCTGGTACAAACCATATAACATTGCATCCTACCCGTTGAGCACCTAAACCCAAGTATATTAAAAACTTAACGGTCCCAAGTGTTTCTGTTTTTGATTAGCATAGAATTTCAAGTTTTGATTATTGCACTTTCTATAATATGCAAACTATAAATGTTTTGACACATTTGTGCAGTGTAACTTAAGTTAATTTTTGCTCATTCTGCGTGAAGTTACTTAAATTGAATTAAATCTTTCTTCCAGGTTGAGCTAATGCGTATGCAACTCAGAAGAGTGAAATTGCAAACTGATACTCGGGACATGGAGCTTGCAATGGACATGATGGTAGTTCTGTCCAACAAGGATGACAGAAATGCTGCCAGTTTCACCACAGAAAGGCTGGCAAAGACTCTTGCTCTACAAATAGTTGAGGACTCGAGGACAGAAACAATTTCTATTTAGAAGCTTCTAAAGAGAGAGGCCAAAGTGCGGAAGTAACCAGCAAATCTTAAATCTTGTGAACAAATGCAGAAGAATTGTAGGGCTCAAATGCTGTGATGTTCTTCATGCCCCTACCCAGCCTGAAGCCGTTGCTAATGCCTATGAAATTTCACTTCAACTTGAAAATCAGAACCAATCTTGTAAAACTATATCATATAAAAAAAAGGCCATTGTCAGCAGTCTTTATATAAAGAAACAATGAATATGAACATGTTCAAACTTCAATTGCATGAGAGCTTTTATATTCAACTCAAACCATACGTTCTAGTTATTCCCGAAGGAAACTCAAGGGCACTTTTTGAAGTCCTATGTTATCAGTACTTTAATTATATGGCTACTTCCAGTAGTTGAGTGGGGAACCTCATAAAAAACAGTAGATTATTTTTTATTTACAGCAATCAAATTAATTAAATGATCCTTTAAGGATACCAAACAAATTGGTTATAGCGTACAAACTTGCTAATAAAATTGTTAGTCTACATTGTAACCAAAGAAAAAAAGAAAAAAATTGTAAGTCTACATCCACGGGAAGCAGCAGAGAAAACTTCCCCTAGACTAAATCTTCAGATTGCAATTCTCAACAGCACCAGAAGCCGGCCCTTCATTCACAGGGTAAAGGCTCAGAAAAGAATATTGTTTTCGTGATCAACTTCATGCTAGTTTAAGTAGCAGACACCTTGAAATATCCTTAATTGAAAATCTCAATATGGGTGTCTGAGTTTGTTTCAATAGCCTCACTCTCCACGCACCAATACCGCCTTAGCATATCAAGTGCAATGTCTGCATTGGGCTTTTCCTTCTGTGCATCTTCTTCACCACTATTTTGCTTCTTTTTCTGCAATCAGGGATGATGCAAGGATCTTTCTGTTCAATAAGATCCGAATTTGACTTGAGTGTGGGTGGTTTAGGAGACAAACCCGTGCTGCTCTGGTTGCTTCGGGAAGAAAAGCTCTCTTTCTTCCTCCTCCCTCAATCTGATACTCCCAGTGATAAATGGATGATCCAAGAGCATATCAGCGGTCCATCTTGACTTGGGGTCTCTGATCAAGCAATTCCCGAGAAAATCTCGAGCTTCCATTGACAAGTCACATGGAATTTCTGGTACTTTATCTGTGAATCCAATCTTGAAAAGTAATGCAGCTCTTTCATTATTTTTTCAAAATTCCAAGGCAATTTCCCCGTCAACAACTGTAAAACAGAGCAGCCGAGTGCCCAAATGTCAGCTTCAGTCCCATAATGTCCATGAAGTACCGACTCTGGTGCTATATATGGCAGAGAGATCCCCTGTTTGTCTTCCTTTTCCCACTTTCATTGCAAGCCCGAAGTCAGCAATTTTGGCAGTGTATTCTTCAACTCTTTTCCTCTTATTCAAGCTTAAAGAATACGAGAATGGCGACGCGGGTGAATCGCTTTTTACAAGCAACAAATTGCCGGCTTTATGTCGCAGTGAACGTACCCCTGCCTGTGAATGTGACGCAGACCCATGAGAACAGACTTAGTATACTTACGGACCTCATTCACTGGCAGGTCCCCGCCGTAGCGGTGAAGAAGGTCGGAAAGGCTACCGCCAGTGGCAAGCTCCAGGAAGATGTTGTAAAGTAGGACGCCCTGCTCCATGGTGATGTTGTAGCCGAAGCAACGGATAACGTGGGGGCAGGGCTGTATATCGCGGAAGGCACGAAGTTCATGACGGAGCGAGCGGCATTCCGACACGGCAGCGGATTTAACCGCCATGTCGGTTGGAAAACCGGAGCCTTCTTCTGTGATGACTTCCGCCATGGAAACCTTGCCGAAGGCTCCCTGTCCCAGTGTTTTTCCCCTTCGCCACATTGTTAGCGCGATTCTTATTCAAGCTTACTCTCCGATGATTCGCCCTCTCAATTCTTAGTCTTTTATGAATCTTGATTACTGTAGAAAACAATTTGGATAAACTGTTTATTATTTTATGTTTGTTGACATTGATGGACCTGCAATATCATATCTTTTATTTTTTAAATCAGAGAATATTATCTTGTTATTAGTTATTATATCATAACAACAATTGATTACATTACCAGATAGTATATTTAAATTTGTTAGTTGAATGTTGATTATTTTAGGAAACAATTTGGTTAAACTGTTTTTATTTTATCTTTGTTTCATTGGTGGACATGTAATCTTATATCTTTTGTTCATTAAATGAGAGAACATTATCTTTCCAAATATGAGCCCTCTCCTTTCCCTCTTATCTTTTTCTTGAATGAAGATTTTCTTTCAGAATATTAGCACTCCCTTTCGCTATTTTCCCTTTTTGAATTATGATGGTCTTATCAAAGAATTTGAATAAACTTTTTTTTTGGTTCTTGGAATTGTTATATTACTTATTTTATTATAACAATAATCAATTACATTATTGGATATTAATATTTAAATTTGTTAGTTAAATATTAGATTTTATCTTAAATAAATAAAACTCAAATTTTAAACTTGATAACATTATAAAGTGATTTAAGTTGGATTTCCCTAAATGCAAAATAAATCATATTAAACACATAATTTTTTTAAGATTCTACTTATTTTAAGTTTATCTATTGTTTTCCAACTTGAAAGTAGTTAGGATAAGTAATGATGTTCGAGTCATGGGAGTCAACTTACTCGTATCAATAATTCATATTAATGATTAAAATAATAAGAAATAAACAAAAAAACAAAGAAAATACCCACATTAATATTTTTTTAAAAATGCTTTCTATTTATTTAAATTTTATATTTAAAATAATTTTTAATTTACGATAACAAAATTACAATTATTAGTAAATACAGAAATAGAAATCCAAAGCATGAACCTTAAAAGTATTTTGGTTGCTCTGTTTTTTCTTTTCACTTTTGATAATGAAAATGGAAAATCGCATTGAAAATATGTTTGATAGCTTTTAGAATAAAAACTCTGCTGGAATGCTTTCATTCTTTCTGTGAATAGATCCTTTCATTTTGGGTTAATTAGGAGTTCTAAGTTGAGCCTATTGGGTTTGGTATAACCTACGCTGCAGAACTGAATAAAGGTTAAAAAATTTAGTTATATTATACACATGATCTTATCATATTTAATTTTTATACTTAAAATATAAGATTATTATACATTAATTAATTCAAATAAAATAAATTGATGTACCTTTGCTATTCTTTGCTGAAGTAGAATAAGGATGAATTCAATTTCGGTTTTGCAAGCTCGAAATATCTACGAGAGAGAAGTCCAAACAGTCTCGTTCTAAATTGATCACACCTCGATATCTAATCAAGTTACTCGTTACACTAGTAACTTGCAAAACATTGAAAAGGATTTCCGTTGAGATTAAATGAATGAGTTATCAACCACGTTGATCCCTATCTATGGAGAACGCCAAGAAGAGATTGAGTTTTATCTCTAATTTTTTGGTATTATCCAAATAATATCTTAATTAAATATAATTTAATTATGACTTAATTTATATTATATTAAACTATAATTGAGTTTATCTCAAAATGTTTGGTATTATCTAAATAATATCTTAATTAAATATATAAATTAATTATGACTTGATTTATATTAAATTATATATAAAATTATATGTTACATCATGTGCTTAGCCCATGACCCTTATGTGATTTCCAAAGGTTGAGCCCATCTCGCCGGCCCTAATCCTCAGGTCTCCAATGTTGATTTCTGCAAACTCCGGTTATTTCATACCTCAACTTAATGCTTAAGGCTAATTAAATAAATAAATAAATAATTAATTAATTATTAATTAAACTATTTACTTAATTAATTCATAAATTCTATTTAATTAGTATAATTATCTTAATTAATTATTTCCTTTCTTTGATAAGATGTCCCGTGTAATTCAATGATTGGATTACATAAGACATCTAAATATTTTAGAAAATAATTAAAATATATAATTTGATATACAAAAGGCTGAGATGATCTATATATTTTTGAGATCACTAGAGCAAGCCTTATGATTGGGCTTATTAAATTGGCTTACTAAAGTCAATTAACATGAAATTTTTTCTTACATGATCTTTTCTAGTAAAATAGGGTAATATATAAAAGATTAGAAATTATTATTAAATAACTCTTGTTTAAATATATTATTTTTTATTTAGCACTTTTCTTTCACTTTTTTTTTAATTATGATTAACTTGTTCAAAGAAGTTGGATAAACTTTTTACAATTTTTTTTTTTTTGTTATTGGAATTGTTATATTACTTATTATATCATAACAATAACTAATTACCTTATTGGATATTGCGTTTTAAATTTGTTAGTTAAATATTAGACTTTATCTTAAATAAATAAAACTCAATTTTTAAACTCGATAATATCATAAAGTGATTTAAATTTGGATTTCCCTAAATTGAAAAATAAGTCATATTTTACATTTTTTTTTAAGAAAAATACAATGATTCTTCTTATTTTAAGTCTGCCTATTTTTTTTTTTCAAATTAGGCCTGTTTGGTACACCGAATAAAATAAGGGTAAATAAGTTACAAATTGATAAATTATCTTAAATAAATTATACTTTCTACTATTATCTAAAATTTGGTAAGTTGGATATAATTTTCAAATTTAATCTGCATATATATTCGGATGTTATATTTGCTAGGATACATAAGGTAATATCAGGTACTTATTTACGTAGATCTCCTTAGTGACCAAAGATTTAATTTCAAGGTTTTACTTAATAAGGTTGGTAGGCATTATTTAGTAAATTTGCATATAAAAAATAGGGGGCATTTTAGTCATTATATAAACTAATTAAAGATATAGATAAGCCTAGAGAAATTTATCTTATCTCTTCTCTCATATAAATTATTTACTTTAATAAGATAATTATCCATATTTAAATTTTTATCCAACTTATTTTATCCAGTTTATCTAATCTATTAAACTAACTTTAAAAGTTGTTAAAATAAGCAATGATGTTTGAGTTTGGTAGTTAATTTTTTTTATTAATAATTCATAATAATGATTAAAATAATAAGAAATAAACAAAGAAACAAAGAAAACACACACGTAAAGAGCTTTGTAAAAATGCTCTCTATTTATTTAAATTTTATATTTAACATAATTTTAAATTTATGAAAACAAAATTACAATTATTAGTAAATAAAAAAATAGAGTTCCAGAACTCTAAAAGTATTATGGTTGCTTTGTTTTTTCTTTTCACTTTCAATAATAGTGATAATGGAAAGCCGCATTGAAAATATATTTGGTAGCTTTTAGAACAAACACTCTGATTGGATGGCTTCATTATTTTTGGGAATAGATCCTTTCTTCTGGGTTATTTCGCAGTTTAAGTTGAGCCTATTGGGTTTGTATAGCCTACACTGCATAAACACGAATTTAAAAAAAATTTAGTTACATTAAACACACCATCTTATCATATTTAATCTCTATACTTAAAATTTAAGATTTTTATATATTAATTAATTCAATAAAATAAAAACGATATACCTTTGCTACTTTTGGCTAAAGTAGAATAACGATGAATTCAAATTCATTTTTGCAGGCTCGAAATATCCACGAGAGAAAAGTCAAATATTCTTATTCTAAAATTGCTCACACCTCGGTACTTAATCAAGTTACTCACTATACTAGTAACTTGCAAAATGTTTGGGAAGAATTTTTATAAAGATTAAATGAATGAGCTACCAACCACATTCAACCCTATTCATAGACAATGCCAAGAAAATGTTAAGTTTATCCCTAATTGTTTGGATATTATCCAAATAATATCTTAATTAAATATAATTAAATTATAACTTAATTTATTTAAATTATATATAAATTGAGTTTATCGCAAAATGTTTGGGTATTATTCAAATAATATCTTAATTAAATATAATTTAATTATGAATTAATTTATATTAGATTATCTATAAAATTATATGTTATGTCATGTGCTTGGCTCATGACCTTATATGATCTCTAAGGTTCGGCCCATCTCACTGCCCCCAACCCTCAAGTCTCGAGTAATTTGCACAATGCATCCATTAATTATCAAAATTTAGCACTTTGCACCCTAATAGGTAAAGGCCAAAAGGCTCTAGGGTGCAAGTGTCAAATTTTGTAATTAGAGGGTGCATTATGCAATCACCTCTTAGGTCTTCAATATTAATTTTCGCAAACTCCAGTTATTTCATACTTCATATTTATGCTTAAGGCTAACAAATCAATTAATTAGTTAATTAAATTGTTTAATTAATTAATTCATAAATTCTATTTAATTAGTATAATTATCTTAATTAATTATTTCCTTTCTTTGATAAGATGTCCGTAATTCAATGATCGGATTACATGAGACATGCATATATTTTAGAAAATGAAAAAAAAATATAATATTGATATAAAAAGACTGAGATAATGGGATCAAATCATAATCTATATATTTTTTGACATTACTGGAGCAAGCCTTATGATTGGGCTTATTAAATTGGCTTATTAAAGTCAATTAATGTGAAATTTTGTTCTACGTGATCTCTTTCAGTGATATCATGTATAATATATAAAAAATTAGAAATTATTATTAAACAACTCCTATTTAAACATTTTTGAACTCATGTTCAAGTTCAACAAATTATTAAGTTCAGTAGTTTTCGAGTTGTTATAAATAGTAGTAAAATAAAATGATATTCATACCTGTTTTTTTTTATATACAAATACAGATTTGTAATTTGACAAATGCATCAAATGTTTAAATATAAAAGATTGTGATAATTCATTCTATATCGGTTTTTTTCTGATAGTTGATATATTATATCATAAAAAGATTAAAACTACTATTAAATAACTTATGATTAAGTATTTTGGACTAATAATTTAAGTTCAACAAATTGTTAGAATCAGTAGGTCTTAAATGATTATAATTAAACTTATAAATTTGGCCTTATCTTTAATTTTGACATTTAACAAATAATGAATTTGTGTAAGTTTAGTTAACTATTTCAATAATAATAAATCAACAGTTAATACTTTGTAGTAAGATTTTAGTTTTACAAAATTAGGCTTATGAATTTGTTTACTTGGCTTATGAATTGGTTTTAAGTTTTATTAACCTGGGGTTTATGAATTTTTTGGGCTTATAATAGGGTTCATTAAATTGGGTTTGATTTTATTTTTAGATTTTAACAAATAATGAATTTGTGTAATTTTAGTTAACTATGTCAATAGTAAAAATTCAAAAACTATGTCAACAGTAAAAATTCAACTCTTAATATTTTTTAGTAAAATTTTAGTTTTATTTAAATTGTGTTTATGAATTTGTTAAATTGGGCTAATAAATTTAATGGGCTTATTAGCTTGAGTTTGGTTTTATTAAATTAGGCTTGTGAATTTATTAAATTGGGCTTGGTTTTAATTTTTAGATTTTAACAAATAATGAATTTGTATATTTTAGCTAACTATTTTAATAATAAAAATTAAATAGTTAATGCAATAGTTAACTATTTCAATAGCAATTTGTTGGATTTCTTTTCCATTTATAGCTTTTATCAAAATCTCTAAGTATATTATAGAAAAACCTTTTCATGAAATTTTCGGAGAGGATTTTTTTCTTTCGATAATATTACCCTTTCATTTTAATTAATTATTGATTTTGCAATTTCATTAATTTTTTTATATAATTATTTATTAATTTCTAAATGACTTCACTAATTAGACATCAAATGGTATTCTAAATTTTTGTGTGATGATATTTGTTATAATTTATCGTCAATTGACTGATTTGAGTTTCGGATTCCATTGCTATCCCTTATAATCCACCTCAAGTAGTTTCATGGGGTTAATTACTAACTCCATTACACACTTAATATAAGTTTCTAAATATAACAATTATGCAATATTAACTTATATAATAACTTATAAATAAATTGGTAATAATAATTAGAAATTAGTAATATTAATTTTATAAATAACTTATAAAACATTTATAATAACTTATAATATGAACCTATAAATAAATAAGTAAATTAACTTGTATAATAAGTTAGACAAATGTTAAAAAATTAAAAATAAGTAATAAACATATTTTTTAAAATTTACAAACTTAAAAATAAATTTTATTTTCAAAAACTAAAAACAGAAAATAAAAATAAAAATTATTTTCGTAAACCACTCGGCCCGAAGTTCGTAAACTGGGCCCGGTCCGGCCCAAAGCTTCTCTGTGCGGGCTTGTTTTGATTTTCGAGAATCACAGGGTGAGGAGCACGGGAGATCAACAAGTCAAACAACGTCTCGACAATTTAGAGAGAGACAAAGCGGTGGGAAGGGGGAGAGAGAGAGAGAGATAGAGAGAGTTGGGGTGGGAAAGGGGGAACAGCTCTTTGCTGCTTCTCTACACGTAACTTTATCTGATTTCACTCTCAAGGTATGCTTCATTTTCATTTTCATTTTCCATCGTTGTACTGTTATCATTAATAGTCATTTTGTGATTGGTTCTGATTTATTCAGTTCAATCGGAGTCCAATAACTGGTTAATTCGCACTGATCTCTCTTTGTTGTATTTGTTCTCGTCGGTTTGTGGCTTTTTTTGCTAAATGTTGAGTTCTGCAGCAACTTTTCATTCACGGCCTTGCTCTTGATTTCTTATTGCTTCAGTGGTTCTTTTGCATGTTTACCTCCGTTCTTCTTTTAGGGTTTGTGCGTTGGATAGGTTAAATTGTCTTTTTCCCGAAATTTCTTTAAATTTAGGGGTACAGTTGACTGTAGTTAAGGGGTAGATGCTCTAGCTTGTTGTAATTTGTGATTCATGTGCAAATGTGTAGGATATGATTGGGCTTCACCCACTGCATGCACCTTGATGTGCATGGTATTGTTTATATACAGTTACATGACTTAAATAGTGATTTTAGATCATGACATATCTTAGCTACTTATGTAGTAACCCGTAGTCAACACTTAGTAATTGATTGCTGTTCATGCAGACGTTGCTTTTTTTGATTATTTGACTTATTTGGTTGTCATACTGGGGGGAAAAAGATAGCTTGTGATGTATTAACATCTAAGAATAGCAGTGTTAGGAAATACGCGAGTAATCTTTTATTTTGATCTGACTAATTTTTTTAATAGAGAAAAGGATCTACATATTATGAAAACTGTAGTTGTGCCTTTGTAATATTTATGTCCTATGCTTAATACTGAAAGCTTTCATTGCACTTATCACAATTGCTTCCTTTGATATTCCATGTTCAGAATCACTTTAGATGAAGTTTTACATAAATCTTTATTGTTTCTATAGCTAGTCTTAAATATGTTAAACTTTATGATGTCTAGACTTGTAATCTTAAGCCTATTTTTCTCAGAGATCAAAGTGATAAACAAAAAAATATTTAAGGTAAGTTTTCTGCTACTTGTGCCTGCTTTGGTTAATTTTGTTAGCTTCTTTTTCTTTCCTTTTTCCTTTTTTTGTTCAACATGACTTCACACTTGGAAATTCTTAAGGAAATCTATGTGTGGCTGCAGCACTGCGACACTGAACATTAGTCATGAATACGGAGACATACAACAACAGAATCCCGATGATGCCTGAACCTAACACAGAGGCGTATATTCCTCATTTTCCATGGACTAATCCTGGAAATTTCTTTTCTGCAAGAAATGTTGGCTTACCCTTTCCAGCAAATGACATGGAACCAAAGCCTGGTATGACGCCGTTCCCATCCGGTCTTTCAGCCCTATGACTGAGCCTGTAAATCATACCAATTCTGAGACTAAGCCAACAAAGTCTAAGAAAAAGAAGTCCACTGCAAAGCAATCGAAAAAGAAGCCTTCTGCTTCTAGACACCCAGGCATTAAGGTTGAGAGGAAGAATCAGAATGTATTTTTCAATGAAGCCAAGCTTGATCTTTCTGCTGTTCCTCCACCATATTGTTCTTGTACTGGGGTTGCCAGAATTTGTTATAAAAATGGGCCTGGAGGATGGCAGTCCTCGTGTTGCACTACTAAGATATCTGAATATCCCCTCCCCATGAGTTCCTTGAGGCCTGGGGCACGCGTAGGTGGGAGGAAAATGACCAGAGGAGCATATACAAATCTTCTGTATAGACTTGTATCTGAGGGTCATGACATTTCTTATCCAGTTGACCTCAAGGATCATTGGGCCAGACTTGGTAGTAACAAGTTTGTCACAATTAAGTAAAAATGTGAAAAGTTCACAATCCGGTATGTAAAACAATGTATATATTGTTTGTTTTTTCTTATCTATGGTTTCTGATGTAGATATGTTTGAGGCACTTTGAGAAACTTTTGTGGATTTTTAATCCTATTATTAGTGTCTTCATCTCCAAACACTGCTTGATTCCTGGCAATTCTGTTCTTGCATTCATGATTCCTCTTGTGAAAGATAAATGCACAGGAACATTGCTGATGTGTGGAACTTTCCATTGAACACCAATATACTCTTCATGGGGACTTTCATTTTTATCCTTAAGATGATCAATTTTAACATCACAAGACACAAGCGAACTTAAACCTTTGCTTAGGCTTTCATACATGTCTAATGCCTCAGTTTTTGTAGAGTTTAAAGGGTCATGGCCTTTTGAAATTGCTAATTTATTAATGGTAATAGGAATTAGTTAGACAAGCACTCGATGACTACTAAAATGAAGGGAATTTTATTGACATTGAACATCTCTCATTTTTCAGTGTGCTTCTGGATGACTGCAATTTAGCTTTGTGCATGGAAAGGTGAACATTGAATGACATTGGTTTGATTTTTGAATATCATTATCTAATCACATAAAATTTTGCTGTAAGTGCTTTATCTGTGTACTGGATCTCCTGGAGTCTTTATCAATTGTCCCTTTCTGATAGATGTTATTTGGATTGGATTTTGGCATGGTACTGCAATAATATCTTGGTGACGTATTTAGACAGCTTGCAGTGGATGCAATCTAAGCACGTTATTTTAAGCCCGCATTACTGTGTTTATTTGTCTTTTAATTTTGGTTATACATCTGCTTAATGGTTTCTGCCAGCAGCTTGATTGGTTTCTTCAATATTAACCATGTTTCTCGCTTGTTAAAATGATATATATTCCAAGTGCAAAATTTTTTTATAATGACAGTTCTTTTTCCTAGGGAGATATGTAGCTTTTGGGTTCAAATGGAATATGGCTTGCTTTGAAACCAGCTTTTCGTGAAGCTTGTTCCAGGTGCTTCAAGAGGTTTTTCTGGAGAAACTCTCATGTTGTTTTCCTTCGTTTTGTTTTGTTTTGTTTTCCCGTTAAGTTAGCAAGTTGTATCCATATTTGTTTTGTATTGTTTTTTGGGGTAAAAACGATGTTTTTGAATTCTTTTGTAAGAAATAACTAGGACATTCCATATCCTTAAGTCTATAAAAGCTCTTGAATTGAATTATATGGTTTTACCAAATTCTTTTACATCACAATAGAATTTGGAACCTAAAAATGCTGCGAACCAAAACTCCTGAATTTGTGCTCCAGATTCTAGAAATGAGGGAAGTTAATAGAAATGGTTGATAATAGAGTTCCTAGATTCAGATCTTGAAATCTAGATTCATTTCTGCTTTGGCTTATCTATTCACAAATAATACAAGTGGAGAGTGATTCAGTCTCACCGTGACTGTCCTAACACTCTCTGCTGAAAGTCAAAGAGGGAGGAGACAAAAATATGCTTAAGAAAAATGAGGCATAAGGGTGCTGGAAGAGATAATTTTCAACAAGTTGGTGCCGGAAGGCTTAATATTTAAGTCAGCCTTTGGGCTTTTGTGGCTTGCAATGGAGTTGCAACCTTGCTGGTGACGATCTGCTCATACAGGTCTCTGATTTTCAAGCCGACAATGGTCTGGAAGAAGCCACTGCCATTGTTGCTGCCTGGGAAGTCGGAGTGCTTCAACATCTGTTGGGTGACTTCGCCATAGAACTTAGTCGAGAGGTTGCTGAGATGACTCTCGACGTAAATCAGCTCATCTAATCTGTCGAATTGACCATCCATCTCCAGTACAGTCACCTAATACAAACGAGTAATACAATTCAATCAGTTGAATTTGCACTTCTTTATTTGGGTTTCTGGAAGCAGAGATTGTGGTTGGTCATCTGGCTTTTTATGTTTTAATGTTAGGCTTTCTAATTGAAAAAGATTGTTATAAGATCTTGAATTTTTAACTTTTTGGGTTTAAAAACAAATATATAAGCTTTCATAACTTTTATGCTTAAACCAAGAAATCTGTAAATGGATAGCAATTGACCTTTCTTGGCTTTCGAGGCTTAAAAGCTGATCAGATCAAGTTTAAAAAATTTTGCAGCCAAACACTCCATAAAACGAAGTTATTGGATTAAATGGCCACGAGCCTAAAGATAGTGAAGTTCGTATAGATTGAGATTGCTTACCTCATGGCCGAAGTAGGTCTCAGGGCCATAGGAGAACTTAATGCCAGGGTAAGAGCAAGTCAGCTTTCTTCCACAAGGTACCCATGTGATGGTGGAGCCTTCATCAAAGAGGTAGACTGGGTTGAAAAACTTCACCCCTTCTTTCATTATCAGCCTCACTCTGAGTACCTTCTTCTCCTCATCATCTGGTATCAGCTGGGTAGGTAACACTTCAATCACGGCATCTGCATATTGCTTCTGCGGATCTACAATGCATTACATTAAAGCCATTAATAATTTAGGCAAGAGACAGAAACAGAGGTGATTCTGCAAGGTAAATCATGCTACTGATGATCTTCATATTAGGGATTTCTCACTTTAATCTCCAGCTTTAATTTTTATTACGAAATCCCTTTAATTATAACATTGAATCAATATCACCCACAAAACTCTAGTAAAAATCAATGCAAATGTAGGGGAGAAAGGCTAAAAGTAGCTTCCAATGTGACTTAAAACATAACTTCAATAAGTCAAGATGAGTTGAAGTTATTTAAAGGTGATAAGATTTATTACCGTAAACGGGTCAAATTCAAATTGAATTAAGTAAATTTAAATTCAAATCTAATTATCTATTTTTATATCTGAATCCAATCCGAGATTTTATAAGATCTATATCTGTTAAATTATTTAGAATTTGATAGATAATTTGAAATTAGATAAGACAATTCGATCAGATAAAAAAATAATATTTTTATATTTAAATTTCTCAACTCTATCTTATATCCCTTAATTTTTGATTTTCTAATTTAGTCTTTATAAATTTGAATTTGTTAATCTTATAAAAATAATTTAATAAAAAAATATTATTAAGGTTCGAATTTTAATATTTAGCAAATCGAAATACTTAATTCTATATCTAATCCACTTATTTTAAATTATAAATATTTATTATCAATTCTAATATATTGAATATTTTAATTAAATTTAAATTCTAAAATTTAAATTAAATTCTAAAATTTAAATTAAATTCAAATCAGATTGGTATTAAAAGAAAATTTATGGAAAATTTTAATATAGTTCATAATTCATACATTTCAAGTCATGTCGACCACGTGAACAATTTACATGGCTTTTCTTTCTTGTTTTTTACGTTGACTTGGACTATGGCTTTTTTTGGTATGGGAGATGACATCAACTTAATTTCATTAGTCTAGGTGACAGATTGAAAAATTGAAAGCCAAATGATTGAATTTAAAATTGGCAAATAAGTCGGAGGACTGGCATTGCAATTTATCGTCAAGTAGAATTACCGATGTAAGCATCGAAATCAGGCTTCCGCGCTTCGATGCTGGCTTTGATGCTTTCTAGGCTGTGTCCTCTCTCGGCCATGTCCCTCTGCCATTCATGAAGTATAAATTAGACAAAGATGATAGTGGCCCAGGTCACTCACAATTTTAAAATTTTAAATTAAACAAACCTCAGAAATAACTTTGGAATTATTTGGACTTTTAGAAAGAAAAATCACTAGTCAGCCATTTTTAATATTCTACAAATTTTAATTATTTCTAGAGAATTAAGAATTCTAAATATATCAAATCATTTCCAAATTAAAAAAAATTTAAAACCAAAAAGTCTAAAAAATCTAAATAAACAAAAATAGCTTGTAATTAATGGCTTGTGACTTATTAAAAATTAGTGTTGGACTTCATGTAATTTTGCACGTCCAATTAAAAATTGGATTTTGTGTTTGTGATTGGTAAAATTTTAGGTGGCATATAGTATGACGAAATAATTTTTGATGGAATGGGAATGAGAGTAGGAATGTGAATGAAATGGAATGGAATGAAATCATGATTCTTATGAGTATGTTTGGTGCACACTGATGGAACAAGAATTCTTATTCTATCATTATATATGGTATGTTAGAATAGAGATAGGAAAGTAAAAAAAAAATGTTCAATGACAAAAATACCATTTGTTATAAAAATTTTAAAATTTAAAAAAATTAAATTTTAATATATTCTAAATATATTAAAAAAATAAAAAATTAATTTTTTATTTTAAAATTAAAATATTAAAGTCATTTATATGTGTGTTTGTATGTATATATATAATAAGTTATATATCTATATTATATAAATATAATAATTACATAATATATATAATATAATATATCATATTATACAATTTATTATATTATACCAGGTAAAGAAAATATATAATTATATTATATAATTTTTTATATTATAATAGATATATAGCACATAATATATTAATATATAATATTATAAATACTTATATTTTTTATATTTATAAGATATTTTTGTCATTTATTTATTAAGTAAAGGGTATCGTAGTAATTATATATTTAATTTGAATTTTATTAGAGGGTGGAATCCTCGTTCCCTAAAGAATGAAGATTTTCATTTCAAATGTCTATCAAACGCATTTTTTTAAAATTACTATTTCTATTTTCATTCCATCAATAAGATTTCACTGTACCACACGTCACCCTAATTATTAAGCGGTAATTATTTAGATTAACAAATGGCATTTGAATTTTACCAACTATAAATGTTTACATTACCTGAATTTTCCACGCGAACTTGACCTCGTTGCTAATATCCAAGTAGATGCTGAAGTCCAATAGCTCCCTAACACGCTGGTCGAACCTACGTAGTTACAAAATTATTGAAGATTAATTAAGACGAAGAAGAAGAAATGCGTGAAAGGTAATTATCTTCTCACTTCATTTTCAATTATTTATTGAGAGGGCTCCTCACTTAAATTAGTTTTCATTGAAATTACTTAAGAACTATTCTACACGTGATTATCACGTGACATCTATAATCTACTTTAAAGTTAGGCCCAAATGTAAATATATAAAAAAAAATTATTTCAAATGAACATTAAAATTTATAAACGTAAGTCAAATTTGACCACTAAATCCCACTAAAGGTTCACTGAAGTACAAAAAAAGAATATATTAGTATAGAATACTGATTCAACAATTTAAATACAATTGACTTATTAAATTAATTTCTGACATTAAATACAATTCTTTAAAAAAAATACATAATCGCACTATGACTCATAATTCTTGTACTTATTTTATTTCTAAAGAATATAGATATTAAGCAGAAGTTACTCATTCATTTATTTAAATGCCACTAGAAATTTAAGTTCTTGTTGGATAAGTAGTGTTAGCCACAAACTTGAACAAGAATTATTTCCAAATTGCATGGTCACGAAATCTCTATTTAACCAGGAATCCTACTTCCTAATTTTTGTAGTCTTTTGGGTGTTCATTTAACAAGACAAATTCACTGCAAGCTAACTGTTTCAGACAAGACAAGAACACTAATAAATGAGAAAAGACAGAAAAAGAAAAGGCAAAAACATAAAACGGAAGCAAAGTTCAATGCATCCCAAACAAGAAATTAACTCACGTTGGGTGCAGCCCTTCGATGACCAAAATCTTGGGCGGCTTAATAAGCTCCGGCGGGTCCAAAAGCCCGGTCACATGATTATAAATTGGCTTGTCAACAGCTTTTCCCTCCTTCAAAGCCTTCACTTGCTCAAACATTAAGTCAAAATCATTAGCTCTGGGGTCAAGTGCAGTTACCCCCTTCTCCTTCCTCCCTGTTCTGTCCAGTGAATGGTAATCATCCAAACAGATGACAGTTGTCATGTCACTAATAAGAGTGTTAGAATCCGGGTTTCCCCCCTTCGGCGGCTCCGCTGCACCGCCAAAAACGCTGGTGAGCCGCCGCATGAATGTGCTCTTGCCGCAGCCGGAGTCGGCTGCTAGGCCGATTACCACCGTCTTGTTCTCTCTGGAGCATGTAATCGTGGTGGTTTTCTTGCTGGCGGCGAAGAGGACAACCCTTCTCCGGTGGAATCCGAGATTGGTTTTTGTGGGTATGGAGATTGAGTGGGTTGAATTAAGAGATTGAGGGGTGTAGATAGTGCAGATTGCCCATTTCTCTCTCTCTGGATGTGGAGAGAGGGGGGGAGGAGTCGGGGGTTTATTGGTGTGTTCTCAGCTGGTTTTAGTGCAGTGAAATGGGTTTTGATTGTTTTTTCTCTGGTTCTGAGATAGAAGGGAGGTTTTGTGGTTGCAGAAACAGATGGCAGTGTTGAAGGTTGGGAGAGTGTTTTGGCCTGTTGAGGGAGGAAGCTGATGTGGCAGTATGCATTTTCTTTAGTTAAAATATTATTTTCAGCGACTACCCTGGTTTTGGACAAGTGTGTAGGTGATTTTGAGGTGCGAAAGGGGGGACATGGATGGGCTGAAATCTGTGGGCGGGGATAGAATTGTCTCAACGGTATGGATTTCAGCATAAACTATTAGTTCTGAATTATTATTATTATTATTATTATTATTATTATTATTATCATCATCATTATTATTATTTACAAAAAAGAACTAATTGTGAATATGGTCTGCCTGAAGGGTGAAGGGTGTATGCGATAGAGAATTTGGATATTCTGGGGATGACACGTGGCAGCAAAAAAGTGGCTGATTGAAGATGAGAGAGGTGTGGAGTGGAGTGGAGGAGGCATGGCCTTCCATGTCAAAACCCACTCAACTTTGGACTTGTGCCTGCGACAACTAATCAAATGGGTGTTTTTGTGTATGGAGATTTTTTTTATTTTTATGTTTTGATTTTTTGTCGTAATATTACAATGATGGAACTTATTTGAGGGCCATAAACAGATCCTTTGAATTTGAATCAGCCACAAAAAATACAGAGGGTCACGTTTGATCCATAACCATGTGTTTTCACGCCCGAGTGAACGTACTTTTTTACTGAAAGCTGTTTTTAAAGTTTTAACTGCAATTTTTCTAAGAGTAATTTGAACCCGTGGTGCTGGACAAGTATATATAATTAGTTGAATAATGATTTAAAACTCAAATTAGAGTCTGTTTAATTAAGATTTAATAAATAAGTTAATTTCGAACAATTTGTTAAAATGGGTTTAAAATAATATATTTAATAATTTTTTAAGAAATTTTTATTTTTTAAATTTATGTAATTAAAATTATGTCAACTCATCAAGAAGTGAAAAGTATTATCATTTTGTGATAAAATAATATAGTTATTAATTATATTATTTTAAACTACTCTTTTTATTATGAATTGATCAAATTAGTTGAACTCTAATTGGATAGTATTACTAGTTTGATTAATGGTATTAGTTTTAAAGCATATATGCTCTCTGTCCACAAATGTAAAAAATGGGCTTGATTTTTTCTTTATGCTTTTTATTTTTGTACAGAAATTATGTTTGGTAAAGAGCAAAAAGGAACATTTTTATTCAACAAGCTAGGAAAAAAATGTCATTTTTGAACAAATAAATAATATGATTTATTAAATGCAAATGACAATAAGAGACGAGTAATGAATAGACTATGCACTATTCTATTCTGGGTAGGAGCCAATTAGCTTAGCGTACTTGGTAAAATTAAGAAACAGCATCTTAAACTAATCGTGCATGTAGAATATTTGCCATGTCCTTGCATTAAAAAATTATTCAAGCTCGATGAAAACAATTAATTATCAATTGAAAATTTATCACTAATCCCAAAATCAAGGGAACATTGAACCATCGCCGCGTAGGATTATTAGTTTTCATCACTGTAAAATTTTTATAAAGTTTCTGATGTTGGAGTCTACTTACTTTTCCTTGTTCAATTATTTGACACTATGTTTCCCACCTGGGTTTTCAACAAGGTAAATGAAATTTATACCCTTGTCCTCACGCCATAACTAGCACATTCCTCCTTTTTTGAAAGCAGTAAAAAATTTAAAAAGGTCAACCACCCTTGATAAGGAAAAGACTCCTTATTTTCTTCTATTTTTTTTTTCTTTCACGGATTCATGACTTAATTAACATTTGGTGTTGTTTGAGGAATCTTCAACCTAGGACTCCTGGATTTTAAAAAAGATATTTAAAATCTTAGAATCTTGTAAAACCAAAGATATGAATTTTCCTTGAAGTCACAAAAAGCTCGACAAGCCCTAACCTCATAATCAAATGTAAAAAAGCCCAAACATATACATATACCAAATATCAATACCACAAAAATAAAAAAATAAAAATAAAAAGAAAATCTAATTCTCATTTTATATTAATTTATAAATATAAATTAATATTATATATATATATTTTGATTCAATGATTTTAAATTCGTTATAAATGAATATTAGAGTAAAAATTTTTTTAAATATGTTTTATTTATATATAAAAACCAATATAAAGACTAAGATTGGAGAAGGTGATACCAAAATTCCGTCAACGACCGTACTTTCTTTCTTAAGAAAAGAATTCCAAGTTTTAAAATTTGCAATATTGACCAAATAATCAAATCAAAAAAGCAATAAAGAAGAAACCGTATGCTTGAAAAACCATTCAAGTCACCGCAGAATATTCTCCCAGGCATCCCGTGCAGAGAGAGAGGCAACCAGCCGCCAACTCCTCCCCAGGAAAAAAAAAAAAAAAAAAAAAGAGCCGGCTGCTGATGAACCTTCCGTTACATTATTTAATAAATAAATGAATAATATATAGATGGCCAGCTAGGAGAAAGTGGATGCTTCAAAAACCATTGTTTGTAAATATTTTTTTATTATTTATCTCACAATGCAAAAGCAAATGTTCACCATGCAAGGCCTCTACGTAAGTAAGGAAGCTCGCCACGCGCTGAAAAAAATGAACAAAACTACTGACATGGTGGCCAATTTTAATTTCTCTCATAAGTCAAGAGTTAAGTATTGGGTTTATCTTTTAATCAATTGAAGAATCTCGCCTTAGCAAGTTTATAAACGTTTTGTCCTCTATGCACTCCACGGATTGAAGACCTAACTTTTGGAACCAAAGTGAGGCGGGAGGAATGTGAAAAGCTAGCACAGAAAGTAGAAGCCAAATTTCTGAAACTTTAAAAACCATTTCTAAATGGGTCTAAATACGAATTATTAAAATAAATAATTAAATAATAAATGGACGGCTGGCGTGGCTAGCAGAAAGTGGAAGGTTAAAACCCAACAATTGCCAACAATTTCAATATAGCCCAAAGTAATTCCCTATATTTTATTAATTACTTCAATTGCCATTTGCATCCTCAACTCTGCTTACCTCTTTTGGAAATTACAAGGTGGTTTGGCTTTTGCTTTGTTTTTTTTTCTATTTTTAAAATTCATGCCCCACCAGTAAAAATAAAAAATAAAAAAGCAAAATCATGACTGTACGTAATCTCCATGGAGCCCTTTTTTTTTGTTTCCACTGTAAAGTGCAGGCTCTTCTTCACTCTTTTAATTTAAAATCAGTCTTTTTAAATTAAAAATCAAATTTTATAATATATCCTAAAATCTTACGATTACAAAAAAATAATCACCTTTCTTTCTTAAGTATATTTGGTCCCAAATCTTTCTATTATAGCAACTTAGCTTCTGCATTATTAATTTATATCTAAATCTGATAAATAATTTAAAATCTGACAAAAATATTTTTATTCAATTAGAAAATATTATTTTTTTCACTTAAGACTCTCAATATTATTTCATCAATCATAATGATTTTTGAATTTTCTGATTAATCAATTTAACCCTTACAAGTTTAAATTTATTAATATTACACATATATGATTATTAATTTAATAAAAATATTATTAAAATTTGAGTTCAGATTTTTAATAATTCAAATTACTTAATTCTATATTTGATCAACTTATTTTAAATTTTAAATATTTTAT